TCCTCCTCCTCTCGTTCTACTATGATGCTTTTTGCAGTTTGGACACACTAAGTGCTTCAAATGAGATTCAACAATACAAATTTTATACCCCGATCAAGCTTGATCAAAAGTTATTCAATCATCTGACAATGATTTCTTTTTTCTCCCCCACAACTACCCGTATATGGAAAATTATAATTACAACGGCTCTACTGAATATGAAAAAGCAAAGAGTTTCTTGGAGATAGGTTGTAATTGTGGTTGCTCGAAAATAATTCCGAGAGAAAAGTTTGCCGAGTTACGTGAAGCGTTTCAAGCTCTCTCTAGATTTGAGCAAGATATATTTTTAATGGCTCAGCTGAAAGCAATGAATGGTGGAGAAATAACTGCCAGTTGACGTCTTAAAAAGAAAACGCGTACTAATAAAAGAGCTTTTTACTACTGAGATCGCAATGCGCCGCTTTGTCAGAAAACATGTTAGGAATTGGTCGCATTTATCTGGAAAACATCAGAAAGCATCTGGTAACATAAAACGAATGCCGCAATGAAAGACCAAAATAACCATTGATATAACTGTTGCTACCACCGGGAAGAATTTTCTCGAAAACTATGCTGAAATTCATGGACTACCAAGTCCTGGTAGAAATGTCAATCGCATTACTCAATCGCTTCACTTTTGCCAGCCGAAACGAGTTATAAATCGAGCTGTTGTGATTTTATTGAAGCCTCAAAGTTATGGCACCAATTAACAGGAAGCAAAAAATTTGTTGAAAAATACAAAGAACATCAGGTTAAAGCTAGCTAATTCTTCCTCTCTAAATCTGATAAATACGCGTTGTCAAGGTTTTGTATTTATTAACCAATTTATTTAAAAATTTGTACCTGTGATTATATTACGATATTGAATAATATAGGAATAAAATGCGTGCTCTAACCATAGAAACTAGTGTGATTTTACTTTTGCAATTACAAGATAATATCGAAAAATTGGAAAACATAAAACACGCTGAAAATACAAACAATAGATAATATTGAAAAATTAGAAAATATAGAACATGCTGGATTTTTAATTTATGAGGTCACAGTCCCTATAGAAATGTTTCAACTTGAAAGACAGATACGTACAGTGTGACACAAAATATAATAAAAAAAGAGACTTATTGCTAGTTTACAACTGCACCAATTGTTATCAGCAATTTCTTGTTTGACAAGGAGATTTGCTGAAAAAAATTTAATATGGAATTTGTTCTCTCTATTTTAATTCTTTATTGCGATCTTACCTCTGATTAAACATTCATGTTTAATTAGTTAAAATTAATTGCCTTAACTAAATAGAGTTTAAATATTAATATTTTTTTTCGTTTTACTAAATTTAAGTGACATAGTTTCCATTCCTCCACTATAAAACTCGGCTAATGTATCACAATTCTCTAGCATATGTGTTTTATTAAAAACAATATTTCAAAAACTTTTAATGGATAAGACCATAATAATAACCAGGGCCCAGTCAATCATTTGAGGCAAGTCGGGCCAGGTGCTTAGAATAGTTATCTTGCTAAAATCAACATCCGTTTCCAAACCATTGACCTCTGGAATATTTGTATTCAAATTGGTCGGGCCACTCGCGTTTGAATTGTGTTAATAATATAATAATAATTCGTGTCACACTGTATATTCAATGTTAATATCAATCTATTAAATACATCAATATCTAGAGGCGCCATTTGCCGGACAAATGAGAACTAGTGGGTAAACGTTTTTAAAAGGATATTATTATCGTTCTTAAACGCTTATTAGTATTGAATGTGATGTTTAACCAATTGTTCTCGTACTGTCTAACAAGTTATTTGACTCATCAACGTAGTTGGCCGAATATTTTTCATTTAAGTGTATGGTATATTTAGTATAACAACGACTTGATTCACAACAGGTGTGATGAAGCTATTTACAATTAACTATAAAACGTTTAAAGTTTATAAAATATCTGTTACTGTCTCTTGTACAATTGAAAGTAAGTTAACAAAAGCAACCTTGCTGCTTGTCTCCCAAATCATTATAGCTATTGTCGATAAAATTTTTGCTAGGTAAGAAAAACTATTTTTGAAGTTCAAACAATTAGCATGAATAAACTTTATTTTTTCGGGGGTCCCCCTCCTTAATAATCGGTGTGCATTCAAAAAAGAGATTGGCATGTTTGAAAATGGCAATCAGTCATATGGGAGTGATGAGAACAGACCCGCAACGACGGTGAGGCCATATCAATATCTAGTATACCTGAGCAATCAACTTGCAAATACCAAATCTTTCTGATATAAACTCAAAGGCTTTTTTTGCATAGCGTCAAGATTGTCGATACAATGAAAACTTTCGATCGGGCGTATTTCCCCGCTTGGGACTAAGTCGTAATAGACTAGACAAAGGGATTCTTTATGAGTTGATTAGTTACTGAGTATCCATCCAGACTTGAGATTTATCGAACAGGCTCAGCCTGTGATACTCTTGTGTGTGTACTCCGTCAATAGAGTCTATTTCTGTGAAACAAGGGTCGGCTATACATACTCTTTACATCTTTGGTTGTATTTTTAGCAAAGTTATTTTAAGCCCCCGTTATTATCACAAGCTTTTGGTATAATAATGCCTTTGTTACTGTGATAATATGCTGAAAGAACATTTAATGGGGCAACATTTTTAAGACATACTCAAACGCATTATTTATTTATTATAGCAACATCACACAAAGCCGATTATTAATATTAACATAAACCATACTCAAGTTAATATACCGTAAATCAAAACAGAGATTGCATAGAAGGGGGCGAATAGTATTAATTCACTCGTTGACGAACGGGTAATAATAATTACGAATATGTAGCCAGCAAATCTTTAATAATTAGTCATTCTGTAACCACTTAATTGATGTGCATAGATAAATTGCTCACAAACATCGATGGCTGTAATAATTTATAATGATTCTCAGCTGAAACCAAGAAATGTCTCCAAACGAGGTACAGCAGTTACTTTCGAATTAATAAGCCATTTAAAAGATGACCGCTCAGAATGTGTCGCTCAGATGCTCTCGATCATAAGATGTTCGGATGATTGACATTTGCGACGGAACACCCCCCTGAATATCTATCACTATGTAACACTACAACAAATAATAGCGATAGTGCAGTATTAAGTATCGTGACACTACCCACAGACGATGACTCATGTCTCAAGTGTCGTAGTGGTTGCTCGTATTTGATAGTCATCTCACGTTTTAACAATGGTGGTAGATAGGAAGAGTAACAATAAAGACTATGCAATTAAGCTACTACATAAACATTAGACGATGAATTACTAAAGTTGGTGAGCAAGTATGTTTGACTTGACAGTCTGTCTACAATATATTTAGGTGATTCCCTACCAAAATCTATTATTAACAGCATGCGACCCATTGATAACAATGGTCAAAGATAACAATAAAGCATACAGGCACTGTTTGAGGATACCAGTGCAACATGATAAGAAAGTCGAACGGATTACCGGTTGCTTGTTTAAACTGTATATGTAGGCAAGAATAGCGATAATAAAATCAGACAAGGTCAGACGATTCCAAATTCATTTTAAGCGTAAATGACTGTTATTAATGTAATAGACATGTGAATATAGTCAGTCAGAGGAAAAGGTCGTTGGATTTCGTTTTAATTTAGTTCTAACGTTAATTTTAGGCTAATAACAAATAAGCTGGTGCAATAATAGTAATTAATAGACATATAGCCTGGACATTACATTAGTCAGTTGTTATTAATCGTGAAACTTTAATTCCATCTCCTATCTTTCATATCTAATCATGATTAATTGGCATCGGGGTGGTCTATAATTCCTTCTCTTTTTACTATCTCACGATGTACAATAATAGTTAGTCCCGCAATCTGTCCCATGACACAAATATCAATACGCTGCGACAAGTAAATTCCCCATAAGGCAGCTTGAGCACCCATACACAACCAGCAATAAAAGATTTGGGTTTTTTGCGTGTACTTTTTATGTAAGGTAGCACCGAATAGAAATAACTGCCGCACATATTTAACGATCACTGAGGCGTAGAAAACGGAAAAACTAATAAAATTAGAATAATGCCTTTTATTTGATTGGTCAAAAACCGCATTTTTCACAATAAAAAGGTCGTATGACACGCACACCCAAGCAATTAAAAATAGCAAATGGGACACAACTCCAAACACAATCCACAATATACATTACATCTATATTATAATGCCACATACTCGAATCTGCCTTATATACCAATCGATGTTCCTCAATTATACTCGATCGCTCACACGGCACCCATCCCCTTTTCATTTATCGACGGCTCTTCATTTTGCTCAAATTTGGTAGACTACGTGCTGCCCCGTTTCTTAAACAGGGCTAGAGTCCCGCTAGCGTAGACTAATCTGGCGCACCAATCAAATAACCATTCCAATCTATCCCTTATATGCTTGCTGTATGGCGAATACATGGACCATTTTACTACCTTCTTACTACTACTCTTCAGCGTTTCCAAGAACACCACAAATACTCATGACAAGAGGAATACTGTCACTATTCTTAATAACATCCCTACTCGCTGTCGTTAGGGCCACGCCCGAGTCAAATATTATATACAAGAGACAAGCATGTACGTAACGTGTTATATTTGTTAGAAACCTTGGACAGACCGGTCCCAAAAACCTTACTTTCATTTAAGTGATTTCGCACAAAGCAACGAATAATGTTGTCAGCTTTTACATTACAGTTTACCAATAACTTTTTTCTATTCAACTTTTCTTCTTCTCACAAAACAAAACAAACAAACAACAGCGCAGTACTGTAATGGTGGCATAGGTCTAGCAAACGGTGACCTCTATTGCGCACCGAAAGCAAACGATACTTTTTCCGCGTCAACAACAATAAAATTTGCATGGAATACCGAGGATGGTGAAATCAAAACAAAAGGATATGTAGACGTGTATTTATTTCGGAATGAAGACCTTACAATGGTATATAGCAATATATCCGTAGATAACAACCTGCAGATATTGCCAATCAAAGTGAATTCATCATGGTTTGCTACCAATCCTAGTTCGCTACCAAAGACAGTGGATTTTTTTTTTAAAGTTGCGGCTTCCGGTTCATCCGCTTTGCTTGCACCACAGGGTCCAATATTTCACATAATTGGTAAGTATCGTGAACGCGGAGAGAGGTAAAGGGCACGAACGGACGGGGGGAATTGATAATTGTTAATATGACAAACGGTTAAGAGTTACGTGATGGAGCAGGGCATTATAAAAGAGACAAGTCACAGATTATCGCTATTTCGTTTCTTCTTACACGCTCTTCTCTTTCCTCTTGTTCATCAATCAGAACCAGCTGCTGTAACGCTCGCAGCACCTGTCCCAGCTACAACTACAATTTCAGATACCCTCACTGTGCCATCCGCAACCACTATTATATCAAATGATAAAAACACGACATTCACTCCACCACTTGTAGCAATAGTCTGCGTAGCAGTTGTAACAGCACTCGTAGCAATAATAGCACTGGTAATGGCGGCAAGGAGCCGTAAAGCACGATCAAACAAATCCATGTCCACGCTTTCCACATCCTCTACAACACCAATGGTCGCGGGCAGCAAATACAAGGATTCACGCGACGTCGAATCTCCCGTCGACGTGGCATCAATCTCATCAGTCACGCCATTATCAAAGAAAGAAAGTCAACCGAATATAGCCCAAAGAATGTCGCTTTCGTCGCCATCTCGTTCGAGTTTAACGGGGAATCCGAGTGTTACATTCTCATCTGTAAGTTCTGCTGGTGCGCTATCGGTATCCGACGCTGCGTTCTTGTCTGATGCATTTAGACATGGATTAAGAAAACCAGAATGGGGGGCCGATGTGGACGATGATGAGGATGAAGAAGGAGAGGAGGAATTGACAGAGGAAGAAAAGAGGTTGAGAAAAGAAGCCAAAGTGCTGATGAAAAAAGAGTTGGCAGAGGAAGGTACTGGATTACAAAGCGTTTCGAGAAAGCAGGCACGAATTGAAATTATGAATGCAAAGGATCTGTTGACTGAGGGAGAATTTGAAGGCGATCACAAAGAGAGCTAGGAAGAAGGGAAGCGATCAACAAAGAGAGCTAGGAAGAAGGGAAGCGATCAACAAAAAGAGCTAGGAGGAAGGGAAGGGAAGGGAGAGAAAGAAAGGTTGTTTACAGATGAATATGGATATTTGGCTTTTTGTTGTCTTTTTTTTTTTTTTTTTGACGCGACGAAGAACTATTGTAAGGATTTTAATTTAGAATTAGAATGAGGTTAATCTGTTATTAGTAAGGTGGGCGCGAAGAAATAATTTGACTTTATTATTTATAATTTGTTTATTTATTTGCGTATTTGTATGTTCATCTTTCTTTGTGTGTTGGATGGAATGTATTTGATAATAGGCAACATTGAACTTTCCAGATAGTGCAGCGGACGGTTCTAAATTATTAATCAATCCAAACTTATCACCACCTCCTGAGGCCACATAATTCATTTACTTTGATGGTGACATTTGCTGTGGCTTTGGTTTTCTTGTTTAATTTTTTTTCTCTCTTCATGCTAGACATGTATCACGTGTATTTTATTTATGTGTATCAAGACTATGTAAAATGTCATTTTTCAGCAAAAAAAAAAATTTTTAATTTCAATTTCTCTTAACCCAACAATAATGTTTTTGATCATAATTATTATATCAACCTCTTTATCCTATTTGTCAAGATTTCCTAAATGTCCCTTGTATCATTACTGAAAATCACAAATTTTAGTTACCCAAACGGAATTGAACGAGAATTCGGCCAATTAATTAATTAATTAATTAGTCGTACTCGTAACTCTTATTACTGGGACCAGTGTTTCCTTGTCATATCCCCCGCTTATGTATGACAGTTCATATGGTCTTTTATTATTTGGGGCATGTTGCAACAAAACCAGACAAAGTGAACATTTTTATTATATGACATAAATGAGAGGGTCTGATGTGATTGAAAGATCTAATGACATTTTGGAAAGGGTTTGCTTTTAGTAATACCTGTGGCTCAGACATAAATTTATAGGTCTTGTAATAACATGTTACGGTCGAGCGGTAATCTTTCGCGTAGGGGTGTTCTTCCGATACCAGATTTGCCGCCCCTATTACGGTAGTTTAATATTGTGACCTAATTTAATAATTAATATGCGCGCTTCCTTACTCCCTGTACGTCACTCGTAATCCAATAAGGGTGCCTACGACTACAACAATTATTCTATCGCAGAGATCGAAGGGGAAAATATTAAACAGGGCTAACTTTGATTTGGTATTTCGACTAGTCGGTAAACGTCATTTGTCTCTAATAAAACTAATTAAACAATATTCGTCTTTAATAATTAATTATGAGATTTTGTGGGTCTTTATTGAGCACACCTAATTTGCTGAGTTGTTATTACTCGATAAAGAATATAATTAATTATGAGCTTTCGTTCCTCCAATCAGGAGTATTTGATCAAGTATACAGCTTGGTAGAGCCGTTTATGGACGTTGACAGTTTTAGCGTATTTTAAAACGCGTAATATAAATTCTTGTTCTAACAACTTTTTAACAACGATGCAAATTCTGTTTCAGTGGATTTATTGCATGTTGATTACATAATGCTCTGCGAGCATAAGTAATCTGTCACAATATATCTCAATACCATTTTACTGACAATTAGCTCCGCGTGAAATACGAGCTAGCGGTATGGGTACAATATACCGAATGTCGCATTGCATTAATGGGAATTACGAAATAACGCCTATTACTAGATTTATAATAATAGACGCGCATTAAAGACGATTTACTATAAATAGTAGCATTCTCGATATGTTTGTATGTTCCTACATTCTTACTTTTCCAAATAGATGTCTTGATAATACACAAGTTTACATACAAAGCCAGTAAAATAAAAAAATTTAAGGATGAAACTCTACTTATTACGGCGAAGAGATATTCAAGACGGGTTAACTTGCCGATTCGCAATCAACTCACCCAAGTTTTTGAATACCTTGACTAAAGATAGCGGAATTGACACGTTTAATCTTGGCTGTTACTAAGAATTCCGAGTAACTGGAGACATACAGGCCACATTCTTGCCGCATACGTAACTATTATCGACAGCATCTTTCAATCTAGTCAACAATGAAGAAGGTTAAGGCTGAGTATCAAGATAATTTGCTCTCCGATTAACTACATACAGAAGAAAAGAGAATTCTTAACATTATATGAGCTTTAAAATAATTATGCACAAGAAATATTAAATAGTATCTCTCGGAAAAGTTTCGCCAATTACGCAAAGCATTTCACATTTACGACAATATCAGGCAATTTAAAAATTGCATAAACAAAAAGGCAGTTTGCTGTTGGGAAAGTTGTAAAAACTACAAGATGTGTTGCACGTGTTTTAACTCTTGATAAGATCGATTTGATGTATCAATTGGTAATTATGCATGTATGTTTCAGTAAAGCCAAAGTGCATTGCATAAACAGCTCTTATCAGCAAAAAGCAATTTAAAATTCACCAGTCCCCGTTTTACCGATTTTTCAAGCTAACTGAAGATTTAGATTCATGAATTCGAAGCATTTTGCTAATACTGATTATAACAACTCCAAATACACAAAATTTTAAGAAATGGCTTACATGTAATAAGAGAAAAGAGATTTATCCCCCTCAAAAATGCAGAATGTTATAAATACAACGATGCTGCTATTCCTTATAACACGGTACATACTGCATACATCGCATTCAACAAGTAAGGAGGGACATTCGTCTTGGTCCTCGTAAAGCCTGCATATATTGCATTTTATTTAGAAAACGATACTTTTTTAAACGAGTTTCTCCTAGCCCGGTTTGCAAGTATTGTATATCTACATTATGTTATTGCAAACGTGAACGAATGAACGAATAGCGATTCAGGGCACATCTCGAATAATAAAAAAGCAAAACCCAAACTCGAAAATAATACGCTCGCTAACCAAATAGGATATTAGGCGCAAAACAATGTATTAATATATATGCACGACGAAAGTGAAAGAACAAGCATGTGCTTATGCTTCGAATGGGATTATTGCATTAAACTTGTTCTAAGGATCAATACCGTTAAAAGCCTCTGTTAGTGGTAAATCAAATTATTCGAGAAATAATCGCACCCCTTCCCCCCGCATAAAGAATCCGATTTGTTCTTTCTTGCAATAAGATTCAAGTTTTGTATTCACGATTTGAACGAAAAAAAAAAAAAAAAAGAGAGTTTCATAACCCAAGAGAGTTCCCGAGAATATCCCGTATGTGTGCCGTATGACACGTTGCTTATCGACAGCCCCCTTAGAATTACGGAGGTCTGTAGTCTCGCCTTGTATTTGATCTTGTAATTGTGTAAAGATTACTGCACATCTGTCTTTGTTACGTAAACCCAGGTCGTTCTTTATTCGTACATTACAAGTAACACATGCAGATGCGGAACATTCACGCTAACCCTCGAATGATATCTGCGGACAATTCGTGTATGTGGGGCCAAAAATCCATACATGTATAATATCATTTCTGCTTTACATTATGCTAGAATTAATATGAACATATTTTGCCAATAAAAGATATAAAACTGTACTAAAAAAGACTAACTTTGTTCTTCAGTCGCATTGTGAAAGTGTTCGCGTATGACCAGCAAACCCAGAACACTTTACAAAGCAAGGACTTGAAAAAAAATAACACATGAATTCTATCAGCCACAAGGGCGAGAAGTAAAAAAAAATAAACCCATAAGTATATATATGGATACATCGATGAATAGAGTGGTATAGTTACAAAAGGAGAAACAATCAGTTGATGTGTGATACTTGAAACTCTAGTTCTTCTTTCCAGAGAAGAGACAACAATAATCACCACCTCTCACCCCCGAGACGACATGTTAGGTGATTGATTGGATATATGTTTCTCACGCGAATTGGTAAATTTACATTGGTTAAGAGATAGTTACGAATATCGTCTTTTTTTTTTTCTTTTCTTTTTTCTTTTTTTGGATGAATAATATAATACTACAATGTATGAGAGCCAAAGGAGTTTTTAGTCATCATCAAGATTAACACTCTCCAATGACTTCATAAATGCACGCTTTCCGATCTGTTGCTTGAGTTCTTCGTTTTCTCGTCGGAGCGTGATGTTTTCCCGTTGTATTTCTCGGTGTTGGGCCTGGAAGGAAAGGATGGTAAAGAGAAATAAATTAATATGGCGTCAAAAAAGGAAACAATCATCAGTCTATCAGTTTGGATTCGTATTGCATATCTATATTTACCCTTAATTCGTGATTCTCTTCTTCAAGTAACGAGACTTCGGTTTGTAAACTCATTCGACGTTGGGTAATTTCAATGATCTGTTGCGTCAATTCGTGCTTCTCACCATCAGCAAGCGTTTTTGTCTATAAAAAATCACACACAACATTGCAATTCACCAAACCCAATTTAGAATTTAGAATACTAAATCTCTAGCTAACTAATTGTAAATGAACAGAAAACTGGTCTATAATAAGCCATGTTTCAATTAAAAGTATCTTTATATTCTATCACGCACACACTCGCCACCAATATTAGAGTATCGACACAAACATACCTGCTCGCTGACTCGTGAATCATAACTAAACGAGCTCCGACTATCCTCACTCGCAGCATCAATCAACTCACGCACACGCGCCGTTAGCCGTGCAAGCTCATCATTGGCAGCTTGAAGTGCTTCTTCAAGTTCAGTGATACGATGTTCATATCGCGCACATTGTACTTCGTTTTCTTCTTCATAAAGCTCGCGCTCCTGTTCCGTGTGTTCTACAATCTGAAAAAAAGAGGTAGGGGAGGAGTTTAGTATGTATGTATATGTGGAGAGATTCGGACTGGAATGTAGCGAGATTGGATAAAGGCCTGCGGCGCAGCTATGGTTCTTCTTCTTTACCTTGGTTTGCCACTCGCTGAACTGTTCTTCTTTCGATACTACTTGATTGGCTAGTTCCTGCATTTGATCTTTAGACATAAACACACGACTTGTGAATTCACCATACAAGATATATATTCATATCATT